AGCGATTTATTTTAAGTAAGTAGTCTTCGCAGAAGTAATCTTGCAAATATGTCATAAAATTCCTTGGGATATATTTAATACTCCCTAATTTGAGACAGTTATATTATCAGTTTGGGCTAAAATTGTATAAAAAAAAAATATGAGGAATCATATCCAAAATTTTGTTTTAATTTTTCAAATTATACATGCCTATGAATTTATATGCGGGTTATAAAAAATCATAGAAGTTATTGTCCTTGTTTGTAATTGTAAACCGTCCTACCTTTTTGTCTTTTATTAAATTTTTGTTCAAAAGTTTTTAAATTGTGTCTCCTTTGTTGTTATTTAGAAGTTAGCCCATTCTCCCCAACTTGATTTCTTTGATGTGGAAGGGGAATATGCCAGTCTAAGGCTGAATATTTCCTAAATTTAAAATTGTATTCTGTTATCAACAATTTACCTTATCATGTCATTTAATTTCTTAAAATTTGATTTTGCCAATTTTACTTTCTAATTTTTACAAATCTATACTTTTCCTTTAATTTTTAATGCTGCTTTTGGGGAAAGTGCAGAATCGCCCACTATTTCGCGCGTTTCTCAAATTCACCTACCTGAAAACAAAAAGAATTGCACAAGCTCTGTATCCATGTACATATCAACCTATTTTCATTTAAAAAAAAAAAATCAAATAATTGCGCAAAATTGGTACTGCATACTCCCTTGACTTTGTTCATGTACACATTGATACGTGCCATATGAGTGGGCGATTCTTCATAAACTTGAAAATAACAAGTCAAAGAATTGCACAAACTCGGTATCCATGTACACATCGACCTATTTTCACTTAAAAAAAAAACGAAGAATTGCACAAACTTGGCATTGCACACTCCCTTGACTTGTCCATGTACGCATCGATATGCAGTTTATAAGTGGGTGATTCTGCATTTTACCCGCTGCTTTTAGTTAATTTATTTATTTATATTTATTATGATTATTTTAATATTTGATTAGCCTAGTATTGCCTTAAGAACAACTGACTGTCTAATATTTAAGTAATACTCATAATAATTTTTTCACAAGAAAATTTAATGAAATGTAAATGGGTTAAAAAATGTAGTTAAATGTATTGCATTGCCTGTTTTATTTATGCACAGACCAGGGGTGTTATGTACAGTTTTGTTAATGTTGTTACATTAAAGGGTACTGCTGAAGTTTTTCTCCTAGAGCATGAAAATATATGTTTTGTCATTTAATAGATACTTTACAGCTTTTCTTCAGTATTATTTAATTCTTTTCTTCAGTGTATTATTTAATATTATTCCATGAATTTAGTGGAATTTTTTTTATACTTCTTTACTAAATTATCCTTTGTTGTTAACTGGCCAGCAAATGAGTGTGTGTTACGCATTGCTGTTCAGAGGCAGATTTATGAGATTCATTCAGTTCGTTGTGGGATCAATTCATAATTCTGAGGTGTCCTCATATCCTTAATTAATTTTTAGAAAGTAGTAAACATTATGTCTCAAGATAAGGAACCCCAAAAATGTAATAAGATAGGCCCACTGCCAGAGTCGTAGCTAGGGTTTTCAGCGCCCAGGAACAACTGAAGATTTCGCGCCCCCTACTGCTTGCCAAGGATGGAAAACATTTAATTCTAAAATGTCGTAACATCAGTTTGGCGCCCCTTGCATTCTGCGCCCGGGGACAGATGCCCCCCTCTAGCTACACCCCTGCCCACTGCTTCGTAAAGCTGCCACTCTTGTTGTTAGTCATCCAAACTAGGAAAGTGAATCATTATATTTGTAACATTTATCCTTTAAATCAGGGTTTCTTAAACTGTGGGTTGTGACTCGAGCTGCAGCAGGGGATCGCGAAAAATTTTAGCAGTTTTGATATTTCTTTAATTTATTATAATAATTTTATAATTACCAAATATTTTTACACAATGTATCTGAAAATACATAAAGATAAGACAATACGGACAAAAAGAAAAAAAAAAAAAGAAAACGTTTCGATGCATTCTTTTTATAATATAAACATTCATTTTCCTTGTTTGCATGTGACGCTGTCATTTTGTCTGTTACTTATTTAAAATTATCACATTGTACTATGTCTTAAAATTATAAATTAAAGTTAATGACCTAAAATTGCAATGGTATATTACAGTACAAGTTAAAAAATTGCCAGTTTCACTCATGCGTATATCAGATTTGCGCAATACTTATGGGGTCCCACAACATTTTGGGGGTTATGAAGGTTATGAAAAAATCTCAGTGATAAAAAGGGGTCGCAAATGAAAAAAAAAATTTAAGAAACCCTGCTTTAAGTGTTGCCAAAGATCTATGTAGTGGTTGCTTTAATAATGAAATATAAATGTGAATTCCTTTTTGCAGGGCTGTGGAGTCGGTAGGGAAAATGGCCGACTCCAACTCTGACTCTTACTCCTGGAATTTTAAAGACTCCTACTTCCTCATATATATGTAACGTAAACATTACACATGGATTACAGCTTATTTTTTTTTAATATAAAAGAAGTAATAGATGCTACAGAAAAAAAAATTGATGGCATAGCAAATTATTTATATTAATTAGCATTTATTATGAAATGGAAAAACTGGCATTAGTTATTTCTAAGAAACAGTGTAGCTTCGGCAAGAGCTTCTTTATTGGAGGACCATAGATCCGATTTGATAAACTTCAGAGCTGCGAAGAGTCTTTCCACACTAACTTGAGTAGGAGGAAGAGCTGTTACTGTTAGGGCTACTTCTTTTAACTTTTCAGGATAGATTTTTATAAGTTCTAAAAGAGGTGTCTTGCAAGCGCAATCATATTTCTGTATTTCTTCAAAGGCCATGTAGAAATCTTGTTTGTGTTTTTTCTTCATTTTTATATCTAAAGGTACTTGGTTCTTTATTTTCATTCGCTTTCTTTGCCTTAACCTATTTTCAATATTATCCAAATCTATTTCTCAACTGGAATCTAGGATGATTAAATACTGAGTTGCAATGTCTGCAGTATGACTGTCCTGATCTGAATACTCTAATTGTTCTGAGAAATAATTTCATTCATTAATGAAAGCTTCATAGATGGCTTTTCTCTGCCTTTTTTTATTTGTTTGTCATCCAACAAAATTCGGTGATTTCGGATCTACATATATTGAATCTCAGCAAGATCCTCATCGTCTAGCAAACTAATTTCTCTTTTCTTCATTGAAGAAATGATTCCTTCTGCAATAAACCCTCCATTTCAGAAAGAACAAACATTCCATTCTTCCATTCTCACTTCCTGTCAATTCTTCAGATTGCAGCTTTTTTGTGGCTATATACAGTGTAAAAAGAAGAGTTTCCAATTCTGCAAGATCATTCCACAGTCTTTCTGTTAGTGAAACATTAGGGTTATCTACATCTTCTAAAAAAGTTCTTAATTCTAAAAACCTCTTTATCATCAAATATGTACTTCAAATTGTTCCAAAATTGCAATAAGTACATCAAATATGTACTTATTGCATTGCTTGATCAATAATTGTTCCTTTTCCTGCTCACTTCCTAAGAATGGCAACAATTTTGGGAGTTCTTGCTGCTATTGCTGCTTACATAAATTTACCAGTGAGATTTGTAACTAAATGAATCAGTTTAATCACTAATGGCAAATATCACATCCATCCTCCTCCCTTATATTTATTTATTAATATTTCAATAAAATAGAAAATAACTATTTATTAATGCATACAGTCCATAAATAAAAATAACTCAGCTTGTCATTAATTTTTTTCAATTAATTTTAATTTCATTTCAAACTCAAACTGTCCCACAAAAACTGGAGTCAGAGTCGACCTGTTTTTAGCGACTCCAGCTCCGACTCCTTTTACCCTAAAATCTGCCCGACTCCGCATCCCTGCCTTTTTGCATTAACCATAATTTTGTGGTATATGTTTTATATGAAGCCAGTGAACATATATCTATCTATCATATTCAGATTTTATTCTTTTGGCCTTTTTAATAAATAATTTAAAATAAATTTTTAAAAATGCTAAAATTTTATTAACTTCCTATAGAGTGATCTGTATTTTGAAAAATATGAAATAAATGATGCTTCTCTAGTTCAAACAAAATGAAGACTCATTCATTCAAGCTAGTCTACAAGACAATACCCGTCACACTCCCTGCCACACCCATCCCACAGCGTTTTCTCGTAGCTCAATTTTTGACCCCGGCGCAAGCGACCGAAATTTCGATGGGGTCACCGAAATGGTGACTGAAATGGGCCAAACTTTGACCCCCGATATCTCGGGCCCTAATTGTCCGATCGACTTGAAATTTGAAACGTGGCCTAACAGGGTTTCGGCCTTCCTCCCCATGCCCCGCAGTCGCCCCTCACCAGGGGGGGTCCCCCCCTTTTCGCCGTAATGCTAAAACAAAAACTCGCGAATATCTCCGAAACGGTTCGATAGAATTGCGCAAATTTTGGTGTGAAAGGGCTCCCTATTCTTTCCTACAAACCCTCCAAATTTCGTGGTCCTAGCTTCAATAGTTTTTTTATGGCGAATTTTTGAAGGTTTAAAGAATAGGCCAAAAATCGAACGGAAATTCCCCGCAGAAACTCCCTTCGCGAATTTTAAAAATCCGAGATAGCCAAAATGTTGCTCTCGAAGAGTAGATCAATTTTAAAAAAAAAAGTTTCTCTCTAGGCCCAATAGGACCCGACTTTCATAGGGTCAAAGTTGAATTTGACACATTTCGGCCTTCCCGACAAAAACAACAGCCCCGACGATGAAATCGGTCTTTTCACGCCGCAAATAAATTTCGGGTCACAAAACTGAATGACAATTTATAAATATATTTTTTAATCGACATTGAAATTTGAAACGGGAAACAGGGCCGGATTTCGCCCATAGGCCCCAGGTAAGTTGCCCCTGATTATTTATGGTTTTGCCCCTTATTCTTTACTTCAGTACAGTGCTAAAATCTCAAAGTGATTTAAAATACATTTCCGAAAAATATTTTATTATATTTGACGGCAAATTTTGGTGTGAATTTGGGCTCCCATATATCTGAACAAGTATGAAAAATATATCTTTTTTGTTTTTTGTTTTATTTTTTGCTGAAACTTTCATGGAATAATTCTTTTGTCATAGTGGCAGGTTACATTTTAAAATATTTTAATTACTTACATAAAGTATCAAAAGTCTATATGATTTAGAAGCTGTAAATATTGCTTAATTTTCAGTTGTGTATCTGCCACTTTTATCCAATCATGAAATTTACACCTTGAAAGAAATCTTTGTTTCGAGTTCATATACAAAGTCATTTTCGAGCAAAATAAAATCAATTGATAAAATGAATGAAAAGCAATAAACGCTGTTTTTTTATAATTTAGTTATTTAACTTTTTGGAACTATTGTATACCCTCTCGGTTGGCGACAAATTTCTCGCCAAACATTTTTGGCGAGAAACTCCACGGCGCCATATTACTTTCTAATTTTTTTTTTTTTTTCTACATTTCGAACTTTAAGCCTAAAATGTCTGCAAAAAGCATGTTTTTAACACACAATTTATGCCAAAAATTTGAAACATAAACAAAAAATTTAGATAATAAAAATGTAAGTTTCTAACCAAAAATATTTGACAAGAATCCATGTACACAGCAATCTGTTTTAACTTGAAAAAACATCAGAGAATTGCACAATCTCTACAGTGAAGGAATCTAGAAATTACACACAACTCGCTAAAATAAACTAGCGTAACAGTAAATTTCAAACAATACCATGTACATAGCATTCTGTTTTAACTTAAAAAAACAGCGAATTGCACAATCTAGGCATTGCCCACAAATCAACAAAATAAACTAAAAAAAATTTCAAACAATTCAAAAAAACAACAGTAATGACAGAAATTTGTAGCAAAAAAAAACAATGAACATAACATTCTACAAAATAAGAATAACAATAAAATAAAATGTGCTTACCATTGTGAATGCTTCTTCAAACAGCAGAAATATCAATTTCAAACATTGGCAAAACAACAATTCAAAACCAAAAACACAAACACTTTCATCAAATATTCTACAAACAAATTTTCAATTTATCCTACTCAACAGTTCTTACGATTTCCACAAATTTGTTGAAAGAATCTTTTCCCGTTTCAGAACAGTAATGTAAAAACATATAAATCACCAAATAAAACTCAAAATCGCAATTTCGATTATAAGTAGGAAATCTAGCTTTAACATGCCGCCACATATTCTCTGTCATATTTATGACAGCCAGACTCACTACAGTCAAAAGTCGTTAATTCGGACACCCATAATCTGGAATGATCTATAACCCGAACCTCAAAGCTACAAACTTTCTGCGCATGCGTCGCGTTGACACATGCGCATAGGCATTAACACATGCACGCAAGACCTTTACGGCTGCGCATATGCGTGTGCACATGCGCATAATACATTTACGCATGCGCGTTTAACGTATAACGGACGGTATAAGCTAAAATTATCTAATTATCTATTTCAGTTAATGTTGTGGATTGCGTTGTTCCTTAATCTTCAAATTGGATCAGCCTTATTATTTTTTGCAGACTGTTAGAGCAATTTTATAAAAGTAAGCTTGAACTTTCGATTATGTCAAATAGAATTTCCCATGCTGGAGCTCCCAAAGGATCTACAAAGTGAAAGTATGTTTCGATGTCCATCAAACAAAAAGTGGAATTGCTGAAAAAAAAGGATAAAGGCATATCCTTTGTTTCTCTAACCATTCCGAAATCTGTTTATCAATTTCACGCTGCTCTGCGGCGGGGGGGGGATGCCGCAGCATGCAATGAATTGGAAGTTGATCTGTCAGCATTTATCCTTATCTTCAGGGCAGATGTTTTTATTTTATTTGGCTTATAACTCTTTACTAAATGTAGTATTTCATCTCGATGTACTCCATCTTTGATGTATGATTTAAATCAAATTCCTTGTCACTATAATTCGCTTCCGATAGTGAAGAAAGTGACATAGAGGTTATTGAAAACGAAAAAATTTCATTTTGACAAATTAGTCGGTATTCTCGACACAGCAATTATAGGACTTGAACAGTGGAACTTTGTAACTGAACAAGAAATTATGTCTGTTTATAGAATTAAAGAGAAAGTATTATCACATAAAACGAAGCAACTTAAACAACTTACATTGAAAGAAATGTTTAATAAAGTAAAAAATAAATATTAAGCTTTTTTTTTGTAAATTTTGATACCATTTAGATCATAATTGTTCTTTATTTCATAAATTATGGTTTCATATTTTTAATTTTATAATTTCTGCATGCCATCTTACCAGATTTAAACTGATGATCTATAATCCGGAAAAATTGATAATCCGGAATCGCCGAAGTCCCGACGAGTCCGTATTAACAACTTTTGACTGTATTGACAAAATTGATATTATAATTCACAAATAAATGTTCAAAACCTTCCTAAGTCCTTATAGAATTTCCAGCCATCGGAAAAAATAGTTGTACCAGGCACGTGACTGAAATTTTGCCACCACGTCTTTCACTGCAACATAAACCTTTTCAAAATGCCCACCAAATGAACCTACCAGCAAATAAAAACCACTACAGCAAAATCAACTTCAGTATCAGAAGTGTTCGCCCCCAAAACCATCGCAGAACATGCAATCATGCCAAAAACTAGTGCAGAACATGCAATCGTGCCAAAAACCAGCACAGAACACATATCGCCACATTTGCCGACCTGAGAGCGTATATAAGAGAATACCAAATTTTTTAGTAATCTATATAATTGATAAATCCAACTGATATTTTATGAATAGTTACAGTTTTTGTAATTGACTGCCTCAGCTGGTATAGTGGTTAGAGTAGCCGACTACGATACCGAAGGGCCCGAGTTCGAATACCGGAGAAGGCATGATTGTAACGGTACTTTTCCATTTTGCCGGAACAGGCGATAAAGTCGCCAAAAATGGTACAACCGATGACAAACGGAATATCCTTGCTGGTAACCTTTTACGCCTTTTTTTCAAAATCAGCCGCAGCCATTTCTTATCAGATTGATTGTTTCTTTCAATATTGGCATACAATTACATACAATTTTTACCAGATAGTTCAGTTTTATGCCCTAAGGCCATTCGCGGTAATTAAGTCAATTAGGATGCAATCACACTGCTCACCCTAAGGCGAAAATACAGAAAATCCAAAGTCAAGGGTTAAATTCATCAATTCTAATGAGAATGCCCCAGCAAAATAAAGCACTATTACATAATATCTGAGTAAGCTATCCGTATAAACTTGTATTCCATGTTAAGATTTAACTTGAATGTAGATAATTACTGAGAGAATTAGATTTTTGTAGCATAGTCCAGGTGAGATGATATCACTTGGGATCACGTGATATGAACCAGCGAATCAGGATGTTGTACCATGAAAGCATAGTCAATTAAATTAATGTCTTCCTACAAATTTATTGTCTTTTTACAAAATTTTAAAAGGTGTTAAAATGTTTGTCTTCAAAATAAAAAATTCTTAGAGCTAACATTTGTTAACACTTTTTAATATGTATAACTATGTGTTGTCGCTAATAATGTCTGCTTGGATAGATTTGCGCTGGCGAAACAGAAAAGTACCATTATAACTGTCCATCCCTTCATAGGAGGTAATGATGGCCGTCTATTATGTGCCTTCACAATGAAATGGCCACCACTTTCAGCCTTAAGAGTGGCCAATATCGAAAAAAGACAAAATAGTGCCCACTATTCAAAAAAATTTTTTGTAATGGAGCAGTATCTTTTTTTGTTTTTAAATTAAATAACTGACTCTTCTTTAAGCTGTCAGATTATAATCTAAAGCTTCCAGAATTCAATTTTTCTCCCCGCCCCTTCTTTTTTTCTTCCTCCCTGTTTCTTCTTTTTTCCTTTCACTTTATACATATTTTGTTACTTTTTTAAATATGCCTCATAACCTTATTTATTATGTAATTCATACCTGAAGGTTGTTTTTTATACAAAATAGTTGTAATTAAAGCAATTTTCTCCACAAGATTTAATGTAAAAGGGATTAATTCATTTCTTGACATATTTGACTGTTAAGTTGAAATAAAATGATTGCTTATTTACTCTTGGCAGCAGTACTTTGTGCACATATTCATAACAAAGAAACCAATAGAAATTATTAAGATAAGAAAGATAGGCAGGATATTAAATGGATAAAGTAGATAATATGTATTTAATGTTGCAGCAGGTGCTGCTTAATGTGAACATGATTAATGTTATTATTCAGATGTTGATACTGAATTACCGAAGCTTCACCGATTTGTTCATGAACACATGGAAAATACATTGCTTATTGTGATCAACAATCAGCAATTAATGTTATCCAAATTTTACTGAATGAATTAAGTTGAAATTATATCATCAAATAAGGTTGAAATAGAGTAAAATAATTGCCAAATGACAGAGCTATGTCAACAAGTAAAAGATGAAGTCTCCAAGCATCTTGATTGTGATTTAAGATGTAAGGATTTATTTATTATCTAGTTATTTTTGTTAAATATCTTTACTGTCTTTCTCCCTTCCCATTTTTCTGCCAGAATGCAAATTTTAGTGTGCACATACTTAAATGAGGCAGTAAGGGATAGTATTCAAAAGAAAGTTTTAGGTTTTTGAATCAGAGCATGTTGCACCTGCTGAAACCCACATAACTAACTAAATCTCTTTGATCGCAGTCTGTCTACAGCATTGCATTATTCTTGCCATTAGGGCTTTTCATGCTGGCTTAGGTTTGTGCCAACTCGTGTGTTATTCATTCTATGTAGTTGGCTAACTTATGACTTAATTTAAATTCATTACTTTTGAGTCACTCTATAAATGCTGGCTGGTTTTAAGTGCACAACAAGTGCCTTCTGTTAATTTACTGAGTTTTAATACATGGATCTTTTACACCCTTTTTTCCCTTCTGTTTGATTACTGGATATTGCAATAAATAGTTTATGTTCATCTTCTTGAGTCTTGTTTCAGTTTATGCTTCCAAAGAAGGTGAGACTCTACACAGGCAACTTGTAATCCTTGGAACTGCATCTCAAAAGAAAATAAAGAAATGTTTTAAGCATGCTTAAAACATGCTGAACTTTTAATAAATAATAAAATAAAAGAAGATGAAGAAGTAAAAATGTCTCCAACTAACATAAATTGTGAGGAATTTGATGCTTGAATGGGTATTTAAGAAAAACCTCAGGTTGTAAATTCAGTGACAGAGAGAATATCTGCATATTGCTTTCTGAAACAAAATCCAAGTACATCATATGATAAACTTTCTGAAGAAGATGATAAAATCACTGACTTCCCTACTAATGCTGAGATGAGGGATGCTGTATGAATATAAAGATTAGGGGTACAGCATCAGACAGTAATTTCCAGAAGCATTATGAGTAGTTTAAAAAATAAGCTTTTGCCTAAGAATTCAGGCAATCAGTTGCTAATGCCTTTTCCTAATTAAAATGCTGCAAAAGTAAGTATTTATATGTTTCTGGTTATAATAAATTAAATAAATTCCATTGATACTTTGAAGGATATTTTCTTCATCGCTTAATATTATCATTTGGTTATTGTCAATCAAATAGTCATAGACAAATGTGATCACATTAAGCATAGCCTTCTATATTGATCTCCATGAAGAAGAGTAAATAATATTAGTGAAAAGGGGGGAAATGTTGCTTGGATGAGGAATCCTCTTCAAGCAGATACTATCAGATAACTGTCTTTTTGGAACATCTATTTTCTTTGTTTTTGTCTTTCACTGCTAATTGACTCTGCATAAGACTCATTTAACCGTTGTTTCACTTAAAATTTGTCAATGCCATTTATTTTTGTCTGCTTTAAAATGTTTCTAAAGTGAGACGTGGCATTGTTTGAGTAAATTATTGTGCTATAAACTGTTGCTGCTTTATATGGGTGATATCACCATGAGAAAACTTTGCATCTTGCTGCAATTTGCATAAATTTCACCGACAAAAAACTTGGATCATCTTTTCATCCTTTCTTTTCCTTTAAAGACATTTCCTCCTCGATCACTGTTTGTTGCTGCTTGTGAAGGATTTGCAGTTGGTGCAATGAAAGAAGCAGATAAATAAATAAAAAGCCTCTTTCTGAACTGACAAAGACACAAATTAATGTTTAAAATTTAAAAACAATCTTAGAAAAACCATAACCTTGAAAAGGGAATCAATGTAATCTATGTCTCTATCAGTCCAAACGTACGATCCGAAATAAGCAGTTCAAAAATTGTAGCATCAAAAACATAGATTCAGAAAGCTTGCAATATGATCTACACATTTAAAAATATTTTCAGCACATCACTTGAAAAAACAAGACCATATGCAGATTTTTTATTTCAAAATTAAATTGGGAAAAAACAAAATTATATGCAGATTCTGAATACATATGCAAACTTTGGAAACATGCAGGCCAGATAAAAAATAATAGCAAAATTAAAGACCAAGCAAAAATGCTTAAAAATGTAGTAAAAATTTTCAATCTGAGTGGACCAAGTCTGAAAATATGTAAAACAGTAATAGTTCAACATATACAAAAATAAGTGGCATAAGTAAAAATTTGACCTAAAAAATAAAATATCAAATACAGCAGTTAGCTCTTCATTACACATGCACATATATATATGTCTTTAATTTTTAGATTATCTGTCTGGATTTTTAGCTTTGATATCCTTGTATATCATACTTTATTAACTCTTCAAATGTGTTTCTGTTGTGAGAGTGTTTTAATGATATAATAAATAATACTTATTTGGTATTTGAGAACCTTCCTCAGGTAATTAGGTTCTTAAATAACATGCTCTCATTTTACTCTCATTCATCATGCTTTACATTTTCTGATTTTTATCTGATTTATTTTCTGATTTACATTAAAGTCTTAGGGTATTACACCTATGCTTACTTATATGGTCTAATTTTCTTATACAAGAGCAAGAGAAAATAATTTTAATTTTTATGGAAAAAGTAATTTGCAAAGCATAAAAATTTTGATTATACAATTTAATTGTCGCTTCAAATTTGCCATTTTTTATTACCTATTTTCTGCTGAAGTTTGAAGAAAGAATGTACCATTCATTTTAAATAGAATATTTCTGGAATCTAATTTTGCAGTTTTGGAAACTTTGAAAAATTTACTTAGTTATTGCATTCAAAATGGATTTTTCCATTTTGAATGCAATAATAGTAATGCAATATTAGATTTTTCCATTTTGAATGCAATAATTCAATAATTTCTATATAATAAATAGTAATATCCATCTAAAAGATGTCATTTCTCTCATGACTAAATGGATTTTATAAGAAAAGTTAGAAACTTCTTGTATAGATGAACTTAAAAAATGTAAAAAACTGGAATGCATAGAAAAAGTACTGAAAGTAAATTCACCTAAATGAAATAAGTAAAATTTTTCCTAAACTGGAAATGACAGATTCTAATTCCATGTCAAAATATGGTTTTTATTGATATTTGTTACAAACTTTATCTGAAAATCTTTAAAAATTAATTTTTAAATTATTTTAAATAATAAACATAAAACGAACTGTATTTGATATATTAAAAACATTCTCTAATTTCTATATAATTATGTTGCATAAAGTATGTACTTTATTAATGTAATGTTCTTTAATACCACATATTCAGTCTCTTGATTATAGCTTTAATTATTTTATTCATTTTTACAAAAATAGATGGGAAAAAGTCAAGTTTATATTCTGTTTTTAAAATAGTGTACATGAATGTGTGTGTAGTCTGTTTTAAAAAGTGCACTTTTCTTATTTTAGATGGCTGAAGATATTGTATCAGTAGCATATGAAAATGGCATTAATCTTTTTGATACTGCAGATATATATGCTGGTGGAAAGTAATTTTATTTTAATATTTTTTAAATAATTCATTAAGTGTATTAGTAATTGGTGTTAAAAGCTGTTAATTACACTTTTATGCTGATATGATTGTTAGTTGACTCCCAGAAAATTGAAAATATATGTAAATAAAAAATTAATCCTATCATCTCTGATAATGAAACCAGTTCTAGGCTAAGGGACCTTTTAGGAATCAGATCAAAATTAGAAAAAAAAAAAAAAAAAAAAAGTTGAGCTTGCAATCAAATTAATCATACTTACGGTCTAATAAGAAATTTTTATAAAAGCACTGAAAAGCTGTCATTTTATAGAATTCTGCTCATAAGAAATGGTTTTTCCAAAGATTTACATTTTTAAGGTAAATTTATTTCACAAAGCTCTTATTGTTCGTAGACTTTTGTATTTCTATTATTTCTATGTTGCATAATTAATTCTTTCTTGACCAAAACTTTTGCATTATAGAGTTGCTTATGCTTATTAACCATTTGCTTAACCATCAGAATTTTAGTTCCCTCCCCCAGTTTTCTTTTCTATTGTCATCTAATTAAATATAAAAATATAACTGCATTAAGAAGGAAAAATTATTTAGGAAAAAAGAGAGGGAGATTATCATATTTTGAGACATGTATTTTAATCTCCTAATGACTGCAATTATATAGTATATAACAATTCTAATGTTATTAAGTAATTTTGGATTTTTTTGACTTAAATTTGTAGTAACTAGATCAAGAAATAAAGGACATGTAAATTTAACTAAAAATATTTCTTTATGCTAAATAATATAAGTAATACATATAATGAAATTGCAATTTTATGAACTATCTCATTTATCCTGAATGCATATATTTTTAATGTCATTTTCGTTAAGAACTTTACTTTTACAAACATTTTTGACCCATATTAATTGTAAAATTCAGAATATATTATATTATTATTTTTTGTCCTTGAAACATGTAAAAAAAGTGTATTCTCTTTAAGTAATGGTTGAAATAGTTGAGTTATTTTACAAAACCTGAAAGACAATTTGCAGCTTTCTCAATTAGGAAGTGTGACTGTTAAAATGGTTAGGTAAAATTACATCTTTAATTATATCTTACAAAATTAAGTTTGTATCTTCATATTTTCTATATATTAATACCAGGTGATATACATTGCTGTAATATGCATCTATGTTAGACAATAGTATTGCACAAATGGGAAAAGTAATTACCATATACATTTGTGTTATAATCATCTCACTTTTTATTGAAAAATAAATGCAGTTTTCTAGTTGGGACGCTATACGGATAATTTAGTTTTTAATTTTTATAAATTGCACTAATTCTTTTATGAAAAGTTCATGACAACATGATTAAAAAACAAAATGTTTCCCAAAAATTTCAAATGAAAATTCCTGTAATTAAATGCCTTTGATTACTAGATAATTCAGAATTCATATACAGTGCAAAGTCTGTAATCCGGACATCCATAATTCGGAATGATCTATAATCCGGACCTCAAAGCTACAAACTTTATGCGCATGCGTAAATGCATAATGCGTTTACACATGCACGTTTAATGTATAATGGACAGTATAAGCTAGGTTAAAATTATCTAAGGCATTTCAGTTAATGTTGCAGATTGTGCTGTTCCTGAATCTTCTAATTGGATCCGGCTTATTATTTTTTGCAGACTGTTTTTATAAAAATTAAGCTTGCACTTTGATATATCAAAAGAGTTTCCAATTCTGGAGCTGCCAAAGGATCTACAAATGTACATTGCATTCATTTCATTGATGGTCCAAAAATTGTAATATCGCATGGAAAGTCCACTATAGATATCGAACTTTGTACTGGATATGTTAAACAACTCATTTTTTAAAACAATAATAATTTGTGATGCCAGTTCTTTATCTCATACCAGATTTAAATTGATGATCTATAATCCGGAAAAACCCCTAATCTGTAATCGCCGAAGTCCGACGAGTCCGGATTACGGACTTTGTACTGTATATGTTATATTTTCTTTAAAACAGGAAGGAAGCTCAGGCTTTTAACAATTATTTTAAATGCACTATTTAGAACAGATTTTACTGTTTCTCATTCCAAAAGTTCACAAACACACAATATTTCCCATATGTATCTGAAGATAAAAGCAATAGTATCTGAAGCATATACAGCAATGGAAGCATATACAGCAACAGTTCTTGTTTCCTAATCATTTTCTCTTCTGATAAACTTTTATATCAGTTCCAATTCGTCCTTTACTGTTGTGATTGAGAACATTGATACTGCATTTAAGATGCTTGTTGCTTTAAACCATTGCGGCACAGTGTGTCCGGTCTGGACACACCTAAAAATTCCCTTCTGTACGCACAGAAAAATTGAATGAAAAAGGATTTATAGGTTACTCTGATCCTTCTTTATTTATAGTAGATGGCAGCTCAACACAAACCAGTCCATATATTTTAGCCATGTTTAGTTTTTTAAGACCTTCATTTTTCAAAGAAATCTTCCAGATTTTTTTAGGGTATAAAAGGAATTGTTTGAAAAGAAATTTCTATGTTATTTTTTTGGCTGTATGCTAATCTCCTTATTCTATATTAGTTTTAAATTTTTAGCTTGAAATCCTGCCTAAAATCAAATGGCGAACCCTAGGTGTGCCCAGACCAGGCTCACTGATAATCTAGGACAACTGAGAAATCTGTATTCTTTGTTTCTCCGCATCTCATTGGTCAGTTCATCGACAACAATGCTCATTTCAGCACTCTTTTCGAAGCTCTATTCAATCAGTGGGCCCGCTTTGGGCACACCCGCAGAATTAAACGAAAAGTGCTATCTTTATGAAATTTTACTTGTGTAATCTTCTAGGCCTAATTAGACTGCCTACCTTTTTTTAAATCACAACTCGAACTTTAAAAGGTAGCATGCCAGAAAGGGTTAAAACTTTTTAAAATGAAGTCTTGGATATGCTTGCCCATACTGACAATTCTCATAGGTCAGGTTAAGTCTTTAACAAAGCCATTCATCTTTTTTCCTACATTTGCACAATAATTCCATAATTTTTCCTTCAAAAACGTGCTAATGTCACAATTACACAGATTAATTTTTATTCTTTATAGTCCATGAAAAATTCAAGATGTGGGCATTACATGAGCATATATGATATATACATACTTAAATTTGTATTTTAGAAATATTTTTGCTTTATTTTATAAATATAAATTTAACAAAATGCAATTACCAATTTTACAATGCTCTATTCTTTTGCTAACAGGAAGAAATAGTTGGAACTTATTAATTTATTAGCGTTTTTCATTTAGCCTGGTACTTAACTCATAATGTAATAGTAACAAAATTTTGTTTCTCAGTTATAGCCAACCAGTACAAATTCCTACCCATACTCTAGTTGTGTTTTAGCTCTTTTACATTTTCCTACTAAAACTAGTAATATAAAAACTATTATCTTTTATCTTCAACAAGAAAAATATGACTGTTAAAACATCAGAAAGATAGAGCACAGGTAGAGTTTATGGATAAAAATATTTATAAATTGTTAAATTTTTTAAAAAGTCAAAGAAATTCAACCTTAAATTGGCATGGAAAAAAATTAGCATTTTAAAAAACAATCTGACACACATCTCTCCTCTCCAGTGAATAATATTGTGTGCATGCTTTTGGTAGATTCATTGCCATAAGTGCTGTTAAATACTGTATTTCAGGCAATGCAGCTTTCAGAATGCGAACAAAGTTATGCTATTTGAAGAACAGAAATCATCGTCATCATCATATCATTTATTAAAATGCATTTAAATAAGTTCTAGTCTCTAGTTGACTTTTGTCTCCTTTAAAACTGTACATTCTCTTGCTGCATTTATTTAAATAATTTTGGTAGTTAAAGTAGTTTCAGATTTGTAATATGGAAAGAATTGTTTTGAGCTGTGGAAGTCCTTGGACTAATTGTGATTTATTGCTTGCTGTTGTTCAGTGCTTTCAGTGTTCATAGCAGGAGCTTTGCTCGTGGCGACATCCATGGGTCAAAATCAGAAGTGTGATGCCAAGGGCCACGAAGGGGCTTTGGTTATAGAACTTGGGTCTGTGATATTGGAGTGGAATTCTCTACCACTACTACTCTTATTCAAGAATTCTGATTCATGAATTTGCGAGCATAGAGTGGCTGTACGGATGCCACAGAACTATACCAAAATCCTGGTTAATTCTTAAATATGGAATGTCTTGGAAAGAACTAATAAAAAAAAACACTTTTATCTGAAATTAGTATATCCGTTGTATTGTAGCTCATATAGTTGGGAAAAGGAACTCCGAAAGCTTTAGTATTCTTCTACATGAGTGCCATTTAGGCTGTGTTTATGTGAAACTCTATCTTATTCCAAGTGTTCAACTGCATGAGTGTGTTACCTAATCCAATGTGTAACTTAATTATCCAAATCTAAAGATATCAGCTCCATGCTAGACTTTTTAGTGAACAAAATTTTGGGAGTTATTTCCTACTACTTAAACCACACTGTAATAAGCATTGTTTTGAGATATGCACATTGTTGTTTTTCATCACTTCTTTTCTTCATACCCTATGTTTCATGAAAGATTTTTCAAATTTTTAATTTACGGCATTTTGAGTCTTTATAACATAGAAATTTTGTCTTCACAAAATAATTTCTAGATTAATTTATTATGCCCTTGGCTTGTAAAATGTAAATTTTGAACATAAGTACAAAAAAAATCCGCTTACTGGGAAATCAATATGCACAATAATCATTTAACATATTCTTCTGAAAGGATACTGTTATTGAAAAATATTAATAGTCAAATTATCATTTTTATTAAATCTGATTTTTAAATTATTCTGTAATATGAGTTATTCTTGAATTCAACTGTATGCTAACCTGAAGAGTGACTTATAATTATTTCTATTATTTATTGTATTCAGCCAACAGGATTTGACATAGCATACATTAGTTAAGAGATTCATTATTTATTGCACCAATTTAAATTTTATTGTGTAGTCAATCTTTCTTGCTGAAATTCAGTGAATTGTATGATGCAGAAGAATTTTCTTAGTGAGAGGAGTGGTCATCAGATCAAAATAAATATAGGCAAAAAATCAGTTACACAGATTATATACAAACAAAACTATTTTGAAAGTTATAGACATTTCTAGAAAATATCTCCCTCTCCTATCTGGAGATTAAACAATAACAAAATTCTAAAGTTCAGTAAATTTCTATAATTAAGAAAATTACTTAAATTACAGAAATTCTTATCTTAAAGAAAGTAAACATATTTTTTTATTTTAATTTAGCCTTTTAAAATTGTTTTACTTGCAGAAATCTTGTAAAGTAAGAAGTAGAGTGTAAAAAAATGCTTCATTTTCTATATTTCCGTTAACTTTTTTTAATTTCTTGCTGTTTCTGTTTCTATAATTCTAATATAATTTTAATAACCTTTTAACCCTTTTTTTTTGCATTTCCCTCCTTTTTCTGTAAATCACTGCTTTCAGTCAAATTTTCTGACTTGTCATACACCGAAAAGCCATTAAATTATGACCAATTTCCATCTATAACAATGAGCTCACTCAAGAAAAAACCAGAGCAGTGCGCGGCTGATGTTGGAGTATGTAAAGAGGCTATGCATTGTCTTTCCAAACATAGTGCGATTGGCAATGTAATGGGAAAAGCAACTGATTTATCAGACTTCGATAAAGGTCAAATCATTATGGCTCAGCAACTGGAAACATCAGCATCAGAAAGGGCATATTAGTGGGCTGTTTACATGCAGTTGTAGTGAGCACATATCGAAACTGGTGTATGGATGGTGAAATGACAAGCTGCTGGCCAGCAGTGTGTCGTCAACACCACATTGATTCCAGAGAAAAGCGGAGATTGTTACGCATTGTTCACCATGACCGAAAAGCTACAACAGCCAAAATCACGACCAGCTACAACAGAGGTGTCCCAGACAGTGTTTCTCAGCACACTGTGCAGTGTGCATTGCTGTGTATGGACCTGTGCAGCTGGAGGCCAAAGCGTGTCCCTGCACTGACGGCATGTCATTGTCAGCTGCGTCTGCAGTGGGCCAAGCAGCATCGGAATTGGACATTAGAAGAATGGTAGAAAGTTGCATGGTCCAACAAATCATGTTTTCTGGTCCATCACATCGATGGGAGTGTGCTAACACACCGATTTCGAAATGAATCTCTGGCTCCCGGATGCACAGTTGGACAGAGACAAGCCGATGGCGATATTATTATGGATTATGGTGTGGGCAATGTTTTCATGGTGCACATTAGGGCCCATAATCCCCATAGAACAATCCTTGATGTCTGTATGCTACATGAATTGCAGACCAGGTTCATCCATTCATGACAGCAGTATTTCTGGCAGGCTATGGTGTTTCCCTACAGGATAATGCCCCATGTCATAAGGGTTGGATCATCAGGGAGTGGTTCAAGGAACATTTCAGTGACTTTCAAATCATGTCTTAGCCTCCAAATTCACCTGACATTAATCCAATAGAGCATTTGTGGTCCAATCTGGAAAAACCAAATTCGTGCTGCCACGCTACCCCCTCTCAGTGTGCGGGAATTGCAGGGACAGTTGATGAGTGCTTCTTACCAGATACCTCAGACTATGTATCAGCACCTTGTGGAGTAAATGCCACACCGGGTGCTGGCAGCTTTGAGGGCAAAAGGTGGTCGTATGTGTTATTAACAGAGTGGTCTTAATGTAATGGCTGTTTGGTGTATAATCATGATATCTAAATTATAAACTAAATTTTAAAATTAAATCTCTGTTTTTTTTTTTTTTTTTTTTTTTTTTTTTTTTTTTTTTTTTGTGTGTGTGTGTGTGTGTGTGCGTGTGCATGCGCATGCGTGTGTGTGTTTCAGAAGCTGTATATGTTATATATATATACAGTGGTAAAATTCAAATAATTTAATAACATTTCTCTGACTAAATGAGTGATTAAAGTAGCTAAGTACTTAGGATAAATTGCTTAAATATATATTATAATTTTAACCAATGGTTAATAGAACTAAAAGTGTTTTATGAAGTTGCTGTTCTGAAATGATGCAAACTAACTCGATTCCTACCTTTGCTTATATACAATAAATTTGCATTTTTTTCAATATATCTTATGTATAGGATAATAAACATTTTAAAAGTTACTAACATGAAAGAAGTGTTCTGTTCGAGTCAGTAATGATTATTTTTAATTACCATTTAGGTCTGAAATTTTATTAGGTAGGATACTAAAGAAAAAAGATTGGAAGTAAGTTAAAAAATTTTTGTTTATTGTGAAAAATCCTTTATTAGAAAAATATTTTAATAAGTATGGGTAATTTATTTATTGCAATAAGAGAAAGACTGTGGTTCATAATGTGCCATGTTTAAGTAGTGGTAGGCAGGTAGACAGTTGATTTTATGAGGCATAATGCACTTATTTGGCTTTAACCCTTTGACTACTTATGGGACATATATGTCCCACTTTAGTTTTTATAAGTTTAAATATTACTGCTGGGTTTAGTACTTAGAATCTCCTAAATGTTGGGGATCATCTTCCAGTAGTTGGAAAATCAAGATGCCGCTGTGCTTGTTGTACACAAATGAGCGTAGAGAAAAGAACAAGTGTGAGTAAAGCATTGTTTGCATAACCCAATATTATATATTGCCAAATGCATAATGTTAATGCAAACAATGCCTTACCCTGCACCATACAATGTAAAATCTATTTCATATAATAAAGCTGGCATGAAAGCCATTTGTCAAAAAAATCACAAATGCTAAATTTACCTTATTGATGACATATTTTGTTCACTTGGATAGAAATTGGTGTAATTTTTTTTTAAATTTGTACTCAAAGGGTTCAGTTGAACGATTTTTATTTATATTTTATTTCTAACAGTCCTTAAACAAATGAAGTTTGACAGTGATAACTCAGATTATGACAACTCAGAATTCTCTCAGGAATATAGTGTCAAAAAACTTTTAGTTTAAAGGTACAACAATGACAAAAAACATGGTACTTTCTGATTATCCATACCTCCACTGAATGTTATAAACTGGTTGGTGACTCTTCATTCATGAATTGTTGGAGACTAATTTTTTTTTTCCTGCAAGCTAATATGCCAAAGGCAAGAGTTATTTTCCAATTTGCAGCATTTTAATCCCATAAAAAAGCTATCTGTCAATAAATTTAAAAAGCAAAAAATTCGGTAATAAAACTCTTACCTTTCCTAGAAATATTATAATTTTTTTGCTATATTCTTCAGCTTATAGGTACAACAATCTGTTTCACTAAATGAAAGAAAACAAAAGAAAGAAAGTTCAGAGAATTGCTCAGATTTTGGCACTTGGCACGTATCAACAATAAATAAAGCAAACAGCTGTTGTTAGCGAGATATGGCTATCTTCAAGCCAATTTCCAATCCGCGTGGTAGCATTCTGCTTGCTGCTTTTCAAATTGCATAAAATTAGGTCATTTGAGAAGTCCAGCTTTTTAGAATGGGAATCTTTATGTTCTGAGTATTTTTAGGCAAAATGCTAGATTTCTGCAGAAGTGCAGCACTTTCTTTTTCATCAGCCATCAAATGCTTCTCCCATAAGAATTTAGTACAAGAAAAACAAATGTTATCAATGGAAAAAGGAACACTAATCAAAAAAAATAATGGGTGGCTTTTAAAAGTGCAAAGGCCCACCAGCGGCCAAGCGGTAAAGTCTCTGAACACTGGTAGTTCGGTCTGGGGTTCGAATTCTGACGAACGGACTGGCTGCATGGGTGTTTTCATGGTTTTTCCTATGTGTAATATGTATACAAGCCAGTTTCTCTTAAAAAGTCCTCTACAAAGGCATCCCTAAGGCAGATAGCCCTTGAGTGCTTTGCCATAATTATATAAACCAAATCTAACAAATCAAAAGTGCAAATTCACGTTAACAGATGTGTGCTACATGCATACCTGGAGTTGACACGTAAGGCTCTCTGGAGTTGCCCCATAGCTATTTTGGTGATATACTGCATTGCTTTCTGAATACTTTTTGCAACTTTTCGGTGAGAGTGCAGGTAATCAGAATGCCAAAAATTTTTACAATTAAAAAATAAGTTTATAGAAATAAAGAATTATCAGTAAGAATCAGAGGATGACATTTGATGTAAAATTCTTGTTTCCATTCCCATTGGTGAACTGAGTCCCTGAAAATCATTGCAATAGGTTAATTGAAAAAGAAACAGCGTGTGTTAATTTGCCTTAAAGTATGCAAATTAAAGTATGAAAAGCGTTTAAAGCAACTATGAGTTGGTGTAGTCAAATTATGACATGGAATAATTTAGTTCTACAATGGCTTCCAAAAGATAAGAAATAAAACAATTGATGTGAAAGTAACAAAAACTGTGCACATAAAAACAGTAGGTCATGAAACGTCTCACCTCACTGTAGTGCTTTCCTGCTTAGCAGATGTACAAATTAAAACCGATGATTATTTTTAAAGGAAAGTCAATGCTGAAATATAATTTCCCAAATGGGAAACTAAAACTTCCTCATTCATTTTCTTAAGAAAGTATGTATGGACAAAAACAGTGTGAAACTATGGATAAGAAATGTTTGCCAAACACATTCTGTTGCTCTAAAGAATCCAGGAAGTCTTTTAGTTTGGGATATGTTCAGATCCCATCTAATGGATAATACAAAGAAATTGTTGAAAGAATGTAATACCGACATGGCTGTTATTCCAGGCAGATTAATGCCATTATTTGAGCCTTTAGATGTTTGTATCAATAAACAATTCAAGGAAAATTTAAAATGTCAGTGAAATACATCGATGTTAGAAAATGAAATAACTTTTACAAAAAGAAGCCAAGTGCATCGTACCAGTCTAGAAATAGTGTATTAGTGGATAATAAAAGCGTGGAATGAAATTAAATGTAACATACTTCAAAAGTCTTTTAAAACTGTATATATCTAACAATCTAAATGGAATGGAAGATGATTATTTATTTATGGATCAGAGTAACAATGATGGTAGAGATAAAACTGAATTTGATGATGTGTTTGAATATATAACGGAAGACGAATATGATGAACTTTTCATGTTATCCAGTAATGAAAAAATTTAAATTCATAAGATACATCATTTTCTTTTTTTTTTTTTAAGCTCATCTTTTCCTTATTTTTAAATCTATCCTTTTTATATCTGCTGTATGACATGCACACGTAAATTAAAAGTGTGCATTATTTGCCAGAATGTACATTAGATGAGTGGTATATTAATTTATTAAGAAAATTTCAAGTTAATCGCAAAACAAAAATTATTAGGAAAGGGCTTACTTTATGTTCAGTTTTTCAACTATAATTGGATAATATTTTGAAGCTTGGGAAATGCATTTGTATGTGTAAAGGCTTCCCCAAAAATCTTCAAATATCACATATTATAAATTTCATTTAATAATTTCAAAAATGCTCTTTATTCATACAGTGAAATTTGCCAATTTGATTTCCTCCTTTGGTCAATCACTTTTTTTTTCCTTAAATGATGCATACTTTACAATAATTCAATCAACTTACTGTTTCCTAAGTTTTAACTTGTTTATCATGTTTTAACTTGTGTAACATAGTTTAAGGGCAAAAAAAAATTATGCCTTTCATCCAAGATTAAATAGCTCCTATAAACCAGCATCATTTGCATACCATTCCACTTTTAGTTAGTCAAGCTGACATTCTTTAAATAGCTTAATTATAATTAATTGCTTATTATTAGTAGTGTTTTTCCCTCACAAAAAGCATTGGTAGATCACTGTTACCTTTATTTTTCTTTTTTATCATCATGTTAATTTGAATCTTTGAATGTCAAAGATTTAGTGGATATTGAGAGATAGCAAAGACTCATCATAACAGCATTATAAATGTTCTTGAAATGTAATCTTTTATTAATAGTAGTAAACTATTGTGAAAAATCTAATGTATCAATTTGCACAGATAGGAAAGGAACGGACTTTTAATATAAACAGCTCAATAAGGTAATCAATCATTTAAAATGCATTCTGTCACAATTGAGCCTCTAAGATAAACTAAACCATGCTGAGATAAGAATAACTTAATTTTCAACACTGTATTAAAAACAAACTTGTTTCTTAAAATATAAATTTTTCTGTTAGAGATGCGTTTTTTTCTTTAATTTGTATTTAGAAATATTTTGGGATAATACCAAAATTAAGGCATTTTGGGAGATCCTGTATAAATGTATTAGATTGTTTAGTCAGGTTTTAGAACTCTGTTCTCATAGAAGACTGTTATATTTATCAGTAACATATTATTTATATTCTCAGCAATACTATTGACATTTAGAGAGGTCACCATGAAAAGTTTCATTGTACATACACTCTTTTGCAAAAAAAATCGAAGCACCATGAAGGAAGTTGTTGTTTTTGATGAAATTGAATATGTCTATAGCTCATATACAGATAATAAAATGATTAAAAAATCAATCACCCATTGAATGTTCAAATTAGTAGTTGGTTGAACCGCCCCTGGCAGCAATGCATGCTTGAATTCCTCGATGCAAGGAGCGGTAGAGGTTCCTAATGTCATCCTGCGACACATTCTGCCAGGCATTCATCAGTTGTTGCTCTAGATCTGCGGTATTTTGTGGTGGCCGAATCTGGTGGCCTACTATGTCCCAAACATGCTCGATTGGTGAAAGGTCTGGTGATGTTGCTGGCCAAGGAAGAGTATCAACCGCACGAAGACAGTTCAGAGATATGTGAGCGGTATGTGGCCTGGCATCATCTTGTTGGAAAATGGCCCCAGGATAACGTGCTATGAAGGGTAATGCAACTGGCCCCAGGATGGTATCCAAATATCTTTGAGCTGTTAAAGATGTACAGAGGATGACTAAAGATGACCTATTGGCTCTGACTCCAAATTAATCTTTCTGATTAGAACTCTGTTTCATCAAATAACGTCAATCCATGCTTTAAGTAAAAAATAATTTTTATTTTGTTTTTAGCAAATGTAAACAACTCTTTAGAACAACATCATTATTAATATTTTGTTGCCAATCCAAGAACAGCAAAAATTGAATAATCTTTTTGTTGCCTTAAAGTTTCTGTATAAGTCACAACAGTACTCCCTTCCCAGTAACTAAGTTATGGTAGAGCATAATATTACCTTTAAAACATACTATTTACAAAAAATTATTATTGATACATATAAATGCTAATCTCGAAATCGCGCAGAGGGTTTTATTGTCTGCCCTACACGTGACTGTTTTGCAGGAAACTCGTTAATTTTAGGAGGTAAGTCTGTTGGAGGTTTGACAGGTTGTCTTATTGGCGTTGTTGGTTCTTTCGTAGTAATGTCTGGTGTTTGCAAGAAATATGCAGGCTTTAATCTAACAATAGACAATGTAACATCTTTGTGATTAATTTTTACTGTAAAATATTTTTCTTTTCTATCAACCGCCTGAAAAGGACCATCGTAAGGGGGTTCTAATTGCTTTTTAACTCTCTCTTTGCAAATAAACACATGGGATGTTGTTTTCAAGTTGTTAGGGATGAATATTTTTTGGACATATTTATCGGATACTGTTCTTGGTCCAATTTGTTTCATAGTTTTTTTAGCTGCTTGACAGAAATATCAGGTGGTGTAGGAGTTGTGCTATCATGGAAAAATTCTTCAGGTAATCGTATATTTTGTCCATAAACCTTTTGAGCAATGGTATATGCAGAGTCTTCTTGGATAGCTGTGCGTAAGCCAAGAAGAACAGTTGGAAGTGTTTCAGTCCAGGCCAGGCTATTTTGTTCCATAAGTGCGGTCTTGAGAGATCTATGGTGGCACTCTACCTTCCCATTTGCTTGAGGGTGGTAAGCCATTGTATGTTGCAATTTTATTCCACAAAATTTTGATAGGTTGTTGAACAACTCTGAACTAAACTGTGGTCCACGATCTGTGACTCGGCGACATGGCATCCCAAATCTTTAAATCCATTTAGAATAAAATATGCTTTAGCAACTGTGTCTGCTGAAATGTTGTTAAGTGGAATCGTTTCCATTCAGTTAGAGTACCGGTCAACGCAAGTGAGACAGTAAATATTCCCATTTGATGGTGGTAGAGGTCCAATGAGGTCAATATGCATGTCACAAAATCTTTCTGAAGGCACTTGAAACTCACAGAAACTTGATTTTGTGTGTTGATTAATTTTACTTCTTTGGCAAGCCATGCAAGATCGAGTCCAAAGCAGTACAGCTTTACGAATACTTGGCCGAATAAATTTAGACGATAAGAGCTTTACAGATGACTTAATACCAGGAGGGGATATGTTTATGCATTTGATAAAATATTTTCTTGCGATAACTGTCAAGAATATGTGGTCTGATATTATTCGTTGAAGTTTCACACCATAATAACTTTCAGGAATATATGGTCGGATATTATTTGTTGAAGTTTCACACCTTAAAATATTTTCTTGCGATAACTGTCAGGAATATACGGTCTGATATTATTCGTTGAAGCTTCACACCATAAAGACTTCCCAGAAGGTAGCGGATACTGCTTGAAGTTCAGGGAAATTGCTGATGTCTTCAAATTTTGCAATTCTTTATCCATGGTTTGTTCATCTGCAATTTTGTCATAGTCGTTCAAAGAAATTTCTTCAATTCTAGATAAAGTATCTGTAATGATGTTGTCTCGACCTTCTGTGTGCTGTATATCAGTTGAAAATTGAGAGATGTATTGTAAATGTCTAAGTTAACAGGGTGATGCTTTTTCTGGCTTTTGTTTAAACGTAAAGGTCTATGGTTTGGAATATTGTAAATGTTCTTCCTTCCAGTAAAAATTTGAAGTGTCTGATGGAGAGGTAAATTCCTAGTAACTTTCTATCGTAAGTACTGTAATGCTTTAGTGCTCCATTTAGTTTTTTGGAATAAAATGCAACAGGTTTCCATCCGTTATCTTCAAATTCTTGAAGTATCCCTCCAATCACCAAGTCTGAAGCGTCTGTATATAATGACAGAGGTAGTTCAGGATTCGGGAATGATAAGATTTCAGCTTCAAATGGATTTTGTGTTGTTCTTCATTAGCAGATGCTATCAGAATGTCGTGTAAGTATGGAAAAATGAAATTTAAACCAGAAAGAACTATATTTATAAATCTTTGAAACATTGCTGGTGCATTCTTCAAACCAAAATTCATAACATTAAATTCATATAATGCAAAGGGAGTAATAATAGCAGTTTTACATCTGTCTTCTTCGGCAATGGACACTTGATAGTAGGCTTTAAATAAATCTATTTTGGAATAAATATTCATACCTTTTAAAATGTGATGGAAGTCCTCTATCCTTGGAATAGGATATCTATCAGGAACTGTTCTATCGTTTAGCTGTCTATAATTACCATATGGGTGAAGAGTACTATCTTTTTTTAGCACCACATGAAGAGAGAGTTCAAGGGTCTTATGTTTTTGTCCAACATGAATTGAAACTCTTGCTTAACTGCTGCAAGCTTTCGAGGATCCAACTGTCTTGCTTTAGAATGCACAGGTTGACCATGTGTTATGATATGATGTTATGAGGTAGGGCGTGTGATTTAAAATAAGTTCAATTTTCAGTAGATATGCATTATCCCATCGATCAGAAAAACTGTTACCAAGCAGTATGATTTAGCGGCAACTATGGGTAAGTGTGATGTAACAATACACTCATATTAACTGCGCTTTCATTTCATGCAAGCCTCATTGATTCTCAATAAACCACCTTTTGTTTTTATAAACAAGGATATAAATTAACTGTTTTTGTTGTATTTATTCCTTGCATTTTGAAAAAATATGATTGAAATTTGGGACCTGCCTTCTGCAGAACAGAAATCAGTGAATTATTTTCAAAGTTATGGAAAGAGTCATCATGATTTATTATCATCAAAAAGAGTGTGTATTAATGTACATGGTATGGTCAGTTGAATTTGGCTAATAAAACATGTATAGCTTGGAAAATTTGGCTAACAAAACACGTATAGCTTAGGGAAAGTTTCTACTTGTAATGTCCTAAACAGAGGTTCCAGTAAAATTGGAAGGCCTTACAAAATAGTAAAAATCGAAAAATGCCTTATTACAAGGTGAAAAAAATGAAAGGGGTCGAATACTGATTATTTATTAAATAAAGAGGCATCACATCTTTCAGGAATCTGCATTAATGTTTGGTACGACTTTGGCGAGATATCTACTAAATTTTATGGTTTGATGGTAAATATATAAGTACCAGATTTTCTTAGTGGTATTGGTTAATGTAAAATATAGCTAATTTAAGCTCTTTAATATTCATTTCTAATGCTTTTTACTAAATATAAATTTTTATTCTAATCTTGCCTTCAGACACAATACATAATTTTTTTATCTTTTATATAGGAGGTCTACATACAATGTTGCAACCAAATTATTCTGGGGTACAAGGTAAATTTCATGTTTGAATTTTTTTAATTTTTTGTTTTTTAGAAAAATAAGAAATTATTAAAAAAAACTTGTGCAAATTATATTCATTTTTGTTTGCAAGTAATATATCTTACATAACTCGTCATTTCTTAAAGTATGCTTATTTTAGTTTAAGATGCACCTCAATTTTAAAGATACTTATAAGTGAAAAAAGCATACCTCAGGAATGAAAAGATACTGCATATGGTATAGAAATATTGATTCTAAATATTCTTTCTTCTCACTCAGTATGATTACAGAGCACTATTATGCAATCTGTTTTTCTGTGTGAGTTTACATTTCAAAAGACTAAAATCATTTAAAAGCAAAACTAATAAAATGGCAAGTTTAAATTAATAGGCTTCCTAAACTAAAAGTTCATTCATGGGCTTCCTAAACTTGGAGCCCCAGGGCATTGCCCTAGTCACCTTAGTGGTAGTTATAGCTCTGATATATGTGTTCTTTAATTTCTGCCCTTATACCGAAGGCCTACTATAGTATAAATGAATGACAGTTCCTTTTGCTATTAGTATAATCCTTAGAGTAAAACCATAATTTTTTTAAAAAATGATATTTTATCTTATAGTTTAATATTAATTCCAATACTTAAAAGTTTATTATTTATTGCCCCCCTTTTTTATGTTCAAGTTTCTGCATCATGAGAATAAAATTAAAGTGAAAGTTTATCATAAACATCTGTTTAAAAATGCTGAATTTTCGATTAGTACTTTTATATTTTGTATCAGTTTTGCATATCAGTGCATGTGTGTATAACTGTTTATATGTGAAATCCAAAGTGCTTATACACTATAGGAGTTAATTCTTTTATTTTTGCTTCTCTGTGGAATTATTTTTCTTACTTACATGTTAAGTGTGTCATGTTCTGAAATGCCAAAATATAATGCTAAATGTTTTGAAAGAGTGGCAGATTTGTAGAGAAATGTTCAGTGATATTAAAGTATTAGCATGAAACTTTATTTAGTTATAAAAAGCAAAAGATAAAGGAAGAATTGGCTCGGAATTCCATGAGCTTGTTTTTTTATAAATTTAAGCTCTTTTGGGGGAAGAAAAAAAGATAAAGATTTTAAAGACAGTTTTTAATCAAAATATTATGAAGTTGATATTTAGCAATGCTTATTTTGCTTTCAGAGATAGCTAACAATAATCAGTGTGGACAGTAAGCAGTTAATTCATTTTTAAAAATATCTTTCTGTAATCATTACTTGTTAGATGCATCCTGAAAAACCATTAAATATGACTTAAAAAAATTAGATATTGATAAATATATTAATTTTCAACTCTGTCCATCTGTTTGTAATTAACAAACAAATGGTTATTTAACTATCTGTTTATGTATACAGTAGAATAATGAAATGATTAAAAATATTCCATCATGTTGTTCAATAAAATGTTCTAAATCCTCTCCTGTGCTTGTGTAACCAAAACACTTTAAATGCTGGAATATTTTTTAATGTTTAAGAAATTTTAATTCAGGTAAAATTTATCTCATTTGATATAGATATTAGTATGCTTTGCAGTTTATATTTTTTCTGTGTAAAATTCATGTATTTTGCTTTGTGCTATATGGATCAGAGGGGAATCAGAGCGGGGACTTTCACGGAAACTCATTATCGAAGGCAAGTTTGGGTAAATGCTAATTTTCGACTCTATTTTGCGGTTGTTATTTTCTTTTGTTGTTATTGTTGTAGTAGTTTTTTTTTGTTTTGTTTTGTTTTGTTTTGTTTGGGATGTGGATGTGGATGTCAATCATTTTGAAATTCCTAGCACGTATTGTGTTATGAAATATTAGAGGCTGTTCTTACTCTTTACATAGGAATTGCTAATTTTTCATTTTATTTGTATTGCTGGTGCATTTATTGCTTTTCTTTGAAATTGATAGTTTGGGTCTGTGCTTGCATTTTGTAGAATTTATGCATGGTGCACATTTTTTGGTGTTTAGTTCAAATTACTTTAATTCTATCATTTTAAAACTAAATCCCAGATGTTCCTATACTATAGTTTTGCACATTTTGCTAATGTTTTGAAATGTTATATTATATGCATATTTACTGTTTGTATACTTTATACTTCTTTGCATCCTTTTTTTAGTTATATCAAATATTTATTATGTAATAATGTATTTCTTTCATTTAATTTTATAAAGTTCCCTTTCTCTAAAATAATTCTATTTAGAAAGATAAATATGTGTAAGAATCTGAATATTGCAGTAGCTTAAATTAGTTAAAATTTTATTTCAAACTTTTTTTAAATACTATTAAAAGGTAACTGATAAATTGTAAATTTCTTTGTTTCTTAATATTATCTCTTATGTTATAGAATGCAAGTAAAAATAATATAGAATATTTCAACTTTACATGGCTTATTTAAGCTTAATTGATTCAACAAAAATGTAAAAAATTTTCTGATTAAGTATATAATGAATCTAATTTAATATAAATCCAGGTATATAGAATAAATGAAATTGCATGATAAAAATTTAGTAACCATGTACTGCATTAATCCATAATATTATTCCTTATTAACTTTTTGTTTTAATATGAAAATATTTATTTCTTATAAATAAAAGCATACAAAGTTGAACTGATAAACTGTATAATGCATTACATTGTTGCTTAATTAAAATTTATGGTATTCCTAACTATTAAAAGTCACATATATAAAACGCCATATGTAATATATGTATTATGATTATGGTACGAGATTTAAACCAGACTAATCAGGTTCTCAGGAAAATTCTCATTGATATTTTTTGTCACCAAATTTTTGTGTTCCAGGTTTACAGAGTTCATTAGAAAGGCTACAACTGAGTTATGTTGACATAATTTTTGTAAATAAAGCTGATCCCATGTGTCCAATGGAAGGTATGAAATTTAACCTAATTTGGAAACTTTAAAATATATTTAAAAAAATTTTCAAAAGTCTGTATAGATGATTCTTGAATTATGCAAAATTAGAACATACTGCACAGGTGCAAATATACTTGTATTTATTACTTCAAAAACTCTTATTTGCATCTTCTGTTAAATAGAAACCTTTCTAATGATGTAAACTGTCGATTAACATGTCTTTTGCATATTATATGCATTTATGTTCCATTCATGATGTAAAATGAACTAAATTTTTAATTAAATTTATAAAGATTTATAATTTAATAATAAACCAATAGCAATAAGGTAGATGATTGTAGCTGCATAGTGAATGCAGTTAATATGATTATTTTACAATAGTCCAACCCAGAGCTGCATTTAAACTTGATAAGGCCCTAAGCTATTTGAAATATGCTGCCCTTTATAAGTCTGTTATACTAAATTTTAATACTATGTTTATACTATATTTTAATTTGGGGGGGCTAAGCTATAGCTTGTGTAGCTTATATATAAATCCTGCACTGGTCTGACCTGTACACTAATGAATCGTCACAAAGTTTTTAAGATATGCAATATTACATTCACATTTTTAAATAATTTCTAGAAATATCGTTGCATTAAATATTCTGAAATGCAGAGACTTAATTTTTATTTTATGTCTTTTCTTTACTTCTTATGAATACTTCCACTGTACCTAGAGGTACTTTGTGTGAGATTTATTGTGTTATTTGAGACTTATAGAATTATATTAAACACTGTTAAAATTAACCAATAATCACAGCAGATCATATTTATTGCAATACACCAGTTTCTAAATTCACAAATTGTTCAAGCAGAAATGAGCAATATCATGCAATCTTTTAACCCTTTCCAGCATGCTACCTCTTAAAGTCGGAGTTTTGATTTAAAAATTTAAAAAAAAAAAAAGGTAGGCAGGTGACACAGGTGAGAGCAGGTCCGGACACCCGGACGACTTACATAGACTAGTCAGGTATCGTCCGGATCCCGCAACTATCTGAAGCTACACTCCGAAAACAATACAAGGGCAAAGTATAGATTTTTCTGCGTGCGAAATTAAACATTTTCCTGGCTACATCGCATGCTAACACATTGCTACATATACTCGCTACAATATACATTTCATAATATGCATTGCGTTGATCATTGCACTGTACTTAAGGCACATTTACAACTCAATGCTACACTTAATACACTATATATTCTTTGCAACATATTACGCTGAACATTATTCTTGACAATTCAACATAGATTCTGAACAATGTAATTGTTTAAAACTGACATAACTGGATTATATAGTACATAACTTCGTTATATAAGACAGACTTAAATAAATAACTTGATACAACAGATAAATAAATAAGAGCTCTTAAATAAAGAGCAAAATTGCACATTACAAACAATTTACACATTTTGCACACAGAAATCCTCTTTGTTTACTTTGTGCTGTACTTATAATATACAAAATACAGATTTAAGAACACAGTACAGCCCATATTACTTTTGATTAAATAACATGTTAAAAGTTAACTGTGGCATAAATTTTGCTGTATTCTTAAAACATACCAAAAATAACTTTGTAATTAAACATTCTACTGGTTACATTGCACCTTAACATACTGCTATATATAAAACACTCAATACACTAAAATTTTTATAATACATATTACATTGAACACTGCACTATATTTAGGACACCTTACAAAACTCATTTCTACACTTAATGCACTGTGTGTAGTGGCTACATATTACATTGAACATTACTCTTGATTAAATAATATAGGCAGTGGTAGTAACTCTTTGTTATATACAACATAATTCTTAATACAAAAAGCTTATAAAAAAAACACTGTTAGAAATACACATTGAGGGAAAAAATTACAGATTAAATTAATTGCAGTTAAAAAATTACATGTGCTAGATACATTAAATACCGTATTTACCATGCACTATACATTTCATAATATGCACGTTAACACACTTGCTATATATAAATCACTCAATACACTAAAATTTACAGAATGCAATAATATTTACATACATATAACTACTATAATAATTACTACTATAATATTTACATTCTGTGCTCTTGAATACATTAAGTTGTAGTACTACAGTTATAATTATTATGCTTCCTGCGGCTCAAAGCATAGCTCTGCATGCTACGAGCACTTACACATTTTACCAAGGTACTATACACAGTGTGCTGTACAATACATTATTCACAATACGCTGCACAATATTCTATTTATAAAATGCACATGCTTACAATATTGCACCCATGCATTAATATGCTCATTACAAATATACATAATTAAACTATTTACATTTGGATAATATTAAATCATATTTACATTTGTTTTTCGTGTTCCCAGCCTAATGTTACTCTGCGTACTGACTCAAGATGGGCTTCTTGCAGAGGCCACTGGAAACCAGTGTGCATTGATGCTTTGAATCTCTGCGAAATTTAAGTCTGTTATTGTGGGCTGCATAATTCTAGTCCTAGTGCTTCAAGTTTGTTCATAATGCTTTTGAGCTTCTTGAGATAGGCCGGCTGCTTAATGAAGAAGCGTTTATAAGCAATGTCAGTATCAGGAAGCCTCATGTGCCATTCTTCCGTGAGAGGGCAAGACGTAACGTAATGATCAGGTGTACCTACTTCATTACAGACACAATGATCAGTTGTTGATATTCCCCTTTGATAGAAATATTGGGGAAATGGTCCGTGGCCTGTAATGAAACGGGAAAGAAAAGGGGCTGAGATGAGTCGATCTTGGGAAACTCTATGGACAAAGTCATGGGTTCTACGGCCTTGCGATATAGAGTCCCATTCCTCTTGCCATTGTTGCTGCTGCGATTTAATGCGACAGACTCGCTTCAGATAAGATTTGGGAAGCGGGATCTGGACATCTTGCGCACCGATATTCTTTGCAGCTTCCTTTGCAAGAGTGTCTGCATCCTCATTGCCTCTGTGGCCCGCGTGTGCTTTAATCCATAAAATCTGGATGTTGCAGTCATGCGCATTTTCTTTGAGCAGGCATTGTATATCTGCTATGATCGGTGATGGATGGAATGGATCACGAAGAGCAAAGATTGCCGACTGACTATCTGAGAAAATGCAAACTTCTCGGTCAACAAACTTCATAGCTGCTGTTATAGCCTGGCGCAATGCTACTGCTTCAGCTTGGAATACCGATCTATTAAGTCCAATGTATCCTTTCCAAGTTTCTAAGACTTTATCATGATAATGAGAAATAAAAGCGCAGCCTGCCTCTTCGTTGATTTTTGAGCCATCAGTGAATATGCTGATGGTATTTGCACCGCCTGTGTCTCTTACCCGTAAATCCTGAGACATAGAGGTATGGGCACGAATGCCCAACCCATAACTAGCGGGATGAACTTTGAGCTGAGAATTTTTGTTCTCAAAGTCTGATGGTACAAATGTAGTTCCCCTAAATGAGGCTGACTTCCTAAGAAGCATGACAGTAGAGACAGTTGCCTCTTGTAGTGCGGCTATTGGCAGAGGAGTAAGTCCAGCTAGAACCGCTGCCGCTGCTGTGGCCGTTGTCCTGTATGTTTTCGTGATAGCAAGGACGAAAGGTCGTTGGATGCTATTAAGTAAATTCAATTTCCTCGCAGTCATGGGTAGGGCCCAAATAGCTGCCCCATACAAAACTATTTTTTCTACTACCGTCTTGTAAATAGTCTTGAGGATGTGGGGTCGTAATCCCCAATCTTTGCCCTGCATATTTTTAATTCTAGTTGCTATTCTTGTGGCTTTGACCCTTTGGGCTTGCAAGTGAGGAATCCAAGTGAGGTTTTCATCCAAGATGAGGCCAAGGAGTTTTAGCTCCTTGACCCTCTTGACTGTCACTCCTCTTAGCTTGATGCACGGGTTCCTTATGATGGTTTGTTTAGGCTTGTGAAATATAATGTATTTAGATTTATCCTGTGATATTTTAAAGTGTTTTTCAGTGCAGAGGTTGTCAAAGAGCGAGATAACCTCGTTGCAGTTTTTCTCCAATTCGTCCCTGCTATGGCCTCGAACGATGAAAGTGGCATCATCTGCAAAGGCTACTGTCTTTGTATGCGACGGCCAACGCGCATTCAGTATGGAGTTAAAAGTGACATTCCAGAGATCTGGTCCAGCGCATGACCCCTGTGGACAGCCTCGTATTTGCTTTTTCTTCACTATGCCGCCATTATAGACCACGGTAAAAGTGCGGTCGCTGAGATAGCTTTTAATTACTTGTAGTAGATTATTAGGCACGCTTGCCGCATGTAAAGCTTCAATGATGGCAGGCCACCACAGGGAGTCAAACGCACTCTGTAAGTCAAGGCTGAGGACGGCCGCATGCTGGTTATCTTCTTTGATCTTTTGAACTTCATCTTTAACAATGTCAAGAGCGTTAAGAGTGGAACGGTTCTCCCTGAAGCCAAACTGCGCCTCTGAGATGTGGCCAGACAAAGTTAAATGATGCTTGATCCTGAGTATTGTCAGCTTTTCATAAATTTTGCCTAAAGCCGAAAGAAGACAGATGGGGCGAAAGGAAGAAGGATCTTCTTTGTCTCTTCCGGATTTCTGAAATAGGACCACTTGCCCGATCTTAAAGGACTTAGGAAAATATTGCAGAGAGAGGAGCTTATTGAAGTAGGTGACAAGAAATTTCGGATTCGCTCTGTGCACCGCTCTAATGATATCGTAATCTAAAGAATCGGGACCTGGAGCTTTCTTCTTCGGCAGATTTCGCATAATTGCATTTACTTCTGAATCGGTATAAGGTACATCATTTGGAGTGCCTGATATAAGTGAGAACGCCGGATGCAATTGCAAGTCTGATGTGTCATCCTCATCTGAGGGAAAAACCGCATCTAGGATTCTTCTTATGGTTGCTTCCATAATACCTGACTCTCCATAGGCATGACCATGAAAAGTGTGATGTAGAGTCGGTTTAAAAACTTTTTCGCTGGCTATTTGGTGCAGAATCCCATAGGTATCTCTATGATCAGTGCAGAATTTTTTCCAGCTTTCAAGTTTGGCCCGTAATATGGCCTTTTTATACTTGGCCTGCGCTTTATTATATTCTATGGATAGTAATTGTCTAGCTTCCTGATCTCTTTCTGCTTTCATGCGCCTGCGCGCATAGCTCTGGTACGGCTACGCTGTGTTCTGAGGTCCCTGGTCCACCAGTTTGCAGCGTGTAGCATTTTGGGGGTTTTCAGCGCAAAGGTGCTGTCACAGATAATTTGGAGGTCACTGATCAAATTATTGGTCAATTCTTCCGCGTCTTTGACTGTTATGGTGTTTGGCAGCTCCATTAATAATCTATTTAGGATTGGACGTGCTTTCCTAGAAAATTGAGTAGTTTTACTTCTGGTAAGCTTATAGCGCTTCATTACTAGCCTTTCATGCTGTTGGTTTATACTGTAGGTAATGTACCTATGATGATCTGAGTTGGTAATGGAATCCTCAACTGTCCAATTTTTTATCTTTGGGGTCAGGGCTGCAGATGCAGATGAGAGCGTTAAATCCGGCCACCCTTTGCCATTAACGGTTTCAAACGTAGGCAGGCATTCAGGCTCATTATGAATGGATAGATCATTACTTGCCACAAAGTCTTCTACTGCACGTCCTCTCAGATCCGTATGTGGATATCCCCAGGTTTCAGAATGCGCATTAAAGTCCCCCGCAAGAAGGTGCTGTTCGTTGGGGTAATCAGCCAGAATTCTTTGTTGTAGATCTAGTGATTCAGAAATGTCTGCCGTGGGAGGGATGTAGATGTTAGTAACTAGTATTCTAAGATTTTTTGCCTCAATCGCCATTGTTACTGCATCTCTGGTAGCTTTGATGATAGTGGGTGCCCATTTTTGATTACAGCAAATAGTAGCTACCCTTGGGCCTTCTCCATCATGTGACTGGATGATGGTCCACATTAGAGGGAGGCCAGCTACATTGTTTGCTTGCAGGTACGGCTCCTGAGCAAGAATAAAGTCTACTTCCGCTTCCATCGCTTGTTGCACCAGCTGGGCCGTTGCGGCTCTGGCTCTTTGTAAATTTATCTGGAGTATCTTAATCTCATCATGCTCGAAGATGTTTGTATTTATTGGCATAAAAGGGAAATTGCTTTCGTGAGTTATGGAAGATGTGGGTTCCTGAGATATACGTTCAAGGATTCTTATCTGATGCTCTGTTGCCTGAGTACGTGTCAGTCTTCTGGATTGCTAAGGAATTGAGCTCTGTGACAACTGTTCGTTTCCCCGTTACTGCCTTAGTACTCTGTAATACTGCGGACGTAACGAATGCTCCGCTGGAATTCAGGGCAGCTTGGATGATATGCTGGGTGCCTGTGGTGCCTGTAGTCGTGATGGGTGCCGTATTTTTGTGATTGGCCTCTCCACAGTTGATACATTCTGCACTATTGGCCATGCACTCTCTTGTTGCATGATTTCCCCCGCAGTATCCACAGTAATTTCTTTTACTCTGGCAGACTTCTTGGGTGTGGCCATATAGCTGGCACCTGAAACACCGCACGATACCGAGGTATTCTTTAATACCATGCGCTGTCCATCCCGTGTATACTTTTTGTACTCTGAGTGCTGCTGCGAAGCTGACGCAGTCACATTCAATGACCCACTTGACTCGGCCATTCCTCCTTTCCTTGAGGCGGAAAAGGGGCTTATAGGAGCTTCTCGGCATTCTTGTAATTGCACAGAGTTCATCAATGATTTCTTCTGGCTTAATGCATTCCGCGACATCATGGATGACGCAGCGTGGTTTCCGCCTTGCTGGTTTCTTGATGTCAGCTGAAACTTTGGCTTGCTGAAGTCGCTCTTCAAGTCTGAGAACATCTTCCGCTGTTTTGCAGTGTACTTCTATTCCGCCCCTTCTAGTGGATGTAATTTTATCCACTGCCACACCTAGCTGCGCTATTGGAACCTTTGAATTAAGTTGGTTTCTTAGCTCTTCTGCAGAGACTTCACCACGAGGCTGAATGACTAAACTTGGTTTCTTTGGTCGCCGTAATACGTCCGCAAAGGATTTGGGCATGTGCTCTGGTGGCAGATTGTTTGTGGTAGCTGTTCCAGACGTCGGATAAAGTACAAAATCTGTATTTACAGCTGCTTCAACTGATGGTGGCGATGTTCTATATGCGGGCCTTGCAAAGCGAGGGTCTGAAGAGCAGCAAGAGCCTTAACTATATGCTCACGATCTTCCGTTGGTAGAAGAAACTTATTCCTCTTTTTTGATGTTACAATATTTGTGCACTCTTTAAAGATTAAATGCACTTTCTCCTCATGGGTGGTTGAATTTGACGAAATAAGTGTTGCCAAGTCTAGGCAAATTTCAGATTTTGCAGTGCATGTATCTTTCATTTTTCATCAGATAAAACTAGCTGTTCAGTAGGTGAGTCAGTACGCACAAGTGTGTAAGATGAAAATGGTTGAAAATTATAATAATAGAGTTAAATAACTGCAGAGCTAAGATTTCTGAGCTGCGAGAATTATTCCGAAGTCTTAAAATAGATTAACTAAAAGGGGCCAAGATTAAGGGGGGTCAGAGAAAATTAAATTAATTCAGTGGGAAGGTATTACTAAAAGAAAGTTTGTTTGGAGGCTCTACATTAATTAGAAGAGAAGAACAGGATAATTTAAACCACGGTAAATATGAGGGTGAAAAGAAGGGGAGTCAGAGAGAGTTGAGTGTGATGTCAGAAGAAAGTTTAAATTGAAAGAAGGGAAAGGGAGTTTGTTGGAAGGCTTATAGTTCGAAAAAAAAGAGACTAGCGGGTAAAAAAAAATTTAAAAGGGGTTAGCTGACGGAGGTTATTTGGAGTCGAGAGTGGGTTCAGATGAAAGATATTATAAGGCGATAGATGGAGGTTTCTAGATTGCTCTAGGTTAATAAGAAGAGGAGATATGAGAGAAATAAAAATGAATTATAAGGTGGTGCAAAATACGAGGTGTTTGAAGGAGATGGGATGAGTGATAGAAAAAAGGGAAAATTAAATAAAATTGGATGGAGTTTATTAAGAAACTCTAGGTTGATATAAAGGCAAGCTATCAGAAAAATAAATTGTATTAAAGGCTGTTAAAAGTGATTAAAAAGGGGGGATCAGAGGCTTGAATTAGTGTTAACAATATGTTGGCTGTCTACGGACAGAAGTAAAAAAAACTAATGGGAAGTCTGAAAAATGTGGTTAGTGGGCGCCGAAACTGATAGAGAGAAATAAGAAATTAAGTGAAAATAAATCTAATGAAAACAAATTAAAATGCTTAAAGCGCAGAAACAATTAGTGACGGGACGCTGAAGTTTAATAGAATAGAAGATGAAGAGGATCAATTAAGGTGCTTGCGTATAGTATAGTGTTTGGAGACTTTTTTTTTTAAAGATTTGTAATATACATATATAAAAATAATGAAAATAAAATAAATATGAAGAATATAAAAAAGTCAAATATTAAAAAAAAATTTAAAAAATTAAGAACTTTTTTGGAAGATTTTTTAAAATTAAAAATTAAAAAAGCAAAAAAAAAAAAAAAAAAAATAAAAAATTTAAAAAAAAAAAAAATAGAGGGCTTAGGGTAATTTTGCTAAAATTAGTTTTTAAGCACTAACTTAGAAAATATCTTCCATGTCGTAAGATGGGACATCAAAATTTTTCTCAAAGCGAAAAATACAATAGCATATATGCATAAAAAACTTAGATATGTTCAATAATATATAATAATACTCACATCATAGTACCAGTTATGTGGAAGTAACACATAGAGAATGAATAAAAAATATTGATGGCAATTACATTATTTCACATAATGGTTTAAAACCTACACATACAACATGCATATACATATATATATAAATGCAGATCTATATATTTATATAGCTAATACGCTACTGTAATAGAAATAGAAAGATTAACACTGTTTGCAGAAAGTCTAACTGCCGAACTATAAAAACAGTTCTGCGTGGTACTTAGTTACTTAGAAGACTTGCAGGTTAACGCTGTAACGCTAGCGCATGCTTGAATTGGGAAGAAGTCCGAGGTCTGTAAAGGAGGGGAGCCACAGCCAACTGGAGAATTCTTGATTCCCGAAGGTCACGGACAAACCCTGCTCCGCTACTTCAGTGGGGAGGGGAGGCAGGACCGACGCTACGGAATTAGGCAGGGGGAAACATGAAGTTTAAGAAGGAGGAATGAATGAAAAACTTAATAACTCTGAGGCTATTGACTCTACTGTCAAGTATAGTACATCAAACTAAAGGAAATTCAAAGGCTTACCTTTGCAGATGAGAATGAAGCCAATATTCTTAAAAGTACCGAAGTTATTGAAGAATCAATCCAGGAAAATGGCGCAGAAGTAGCTTTTACAAAAAACACTATTAGTACACTATCACAAAACACACTTACATAAAACTTGCATTGGAAGAGGCCAAAAAACACCCGCTATCTGATGGTATTTTGAATGAAGGCGGATGCCTGCTGGAATTTGCAAAATCCTTTAACAAATGTGATGATGATCACAGCACTTCACTAAAAATACATCCTTCAGCATTTGGATAAAGTTGGAGACACACACACAGTGCAAATCAAATTAAAAGTCCAATATCTCCGGCTATAAATAAGATATTGAACCAATGATTGCACGAAATAATAGCACTTGACAAACACTTCGGATGATACTATAATTATTACCATGGAATCAAAACTTCCGTAAAATACTTAAGATGTTGCAGGAGCTCATCTTTCACACGTCCACTGACAATCTTCATCCACTGACTGACTTCATAGTCAGTGAGACTAACACAGATATTCCTGTTTTTAATCATAAAGAGGATCCATCTAGTTATAAGGTGAATATGACTTCCAGTAAGGGCCTTATGTATTTTCTCAAAACCGATGTTATCAAAAGCTCTTACAATCTCCAGTAGAATCCCAATGGCAAAGTGTCCGTCTATAACTGTTTTTTCTACTCTCCACGCGAGTTGCTGTAAGGCCGACTCAGTGGAGAAGCCAGGCCTAAAACCGTGTTGGTCTAAGCCAAAAGTATGGTTAAGATTATTATCTGACTGGAGGTGCCAGAAAATCAATCGCTCCAACAACTTAAGCTGGAAGGATGTTAGCGTAATCATTCTAAATGAGTTCGGTTTCTCATATATATCTTTTACTGGTTTAGGAAGAAACACACCTCGTGAAGTTCTCCAAACCTTAGGAACAAAACCTTAGGAAAACCAAACTCGATTCGAATATGTCCACGAGAATGTGGCCAAAAATATCCCAGCCTTTCTGAAGCAGAATCGGGTAAATGCCATCGTTCTCTGGAGATTTTCAAAGTTCACAATTGTCTTAGCAAAATCCAAATCTAATGGATTATGAAGTAGTTCCAATGGATTTTCCTGGGGCTCAGAGGTGACACTTCTGTCCCCCAGATGAAAATTCAACATGGTCGAAAGTGTATTCAAAGGGTTTATACTATAACTGCCATCAGGTCGCATAACCGATGAGAGTCGAGACTTCCTGAGATCTTTTAAGAATCTTATATACTCTGGCAGTCTCATGGTAGGACAGAATATCTGTGCAGAACGGATCTCCATGAGTTGTATTTGGTTTTCCTGATTTCACTTTTAAATTTCCTTTGTAGAATTTTGAAAGTTAGACCAGTTAACTTCAGATTTATTTCTGACTGCTTTCCTGTGAGCTCTCCGAACCTCTAGGCGGAGGCTTTCAAGCTCCTTGGTCCAACCAAACTCTCTTGCTAGGAAGAGTACTTCCTTTCGTTTGAGACAGGCATGATGCATGATAAGGATTCAATAATGATATTTGTCAGATTGTTTGCTTGAATATCAATCTCCTCGACTGTACAATTATTGTCTAAAACCTGAAGGTTAATGACATTAGAAACCAGGGAGTCCTTATAAAGGTCCCAATTTGTGTTTTTAATGTTTCTGAAATATTCAAATATTCAGCTGGAATTTATCTCTAATACAAAATTGTATAAGACGAGGGTCTGAAAGTGAGGGTTTGTCGCTTGCATGCCAATTCTCAATAAGGTTAAAAAAATCAGAAGAAGTTAATGTGCGGTCAATGACTTCTCTTCTTCTGTTGACAAAGGTGGGGCGATTTCCCCTGTTTACCCAAGTTAGGTTGGTATTCATTATAAGTTCCATGAGTTTTTCTCCTCTAGGATTGGTATCAGAACTACCCCATGATAGGTGGTGAGCATTAACATCACCACCAATAACCATAGGAATATTGTTTATTCCACAGAAACTCGCAAGATCTATAAATTCTTGCAGAATGTTAAGGTCATAAGCCATGTAAACCGAGCAAAAACAAATGTTTCCTCTCAGTGAACTGTTTATGTCCTTAATTAAAATAGCAGTTAAGTCCTCTGATGTAAATTGGGATAATTTCATAGCCTTTATATTTTTAGAAATGTAAATGCTAGTTCTAGGTCTTTTATTAGGTCCCTCTGTCGAAAAGAAGTGTGCGTTCATGGGCCTACAAGGATTTTACCCTTGTACACCCAAGGTTCTTGAATTAAGGCAACAAAAGTGCCTTGCTTACCTAATTGAGCAGCTAAATTGTATGAAACTGCTCTATGTTGCAGGTTTAACTGACTAACCTTAACCATTAAAACAGGTTAAATGAGAGAAAAGAACTTACCCTGAAGGATTTTAGGAGAGACTTAGTTAAAAGCCGCATCCTTAGCCCACTACTTCAAAGGAAGTAGTGACAGGGGAAAACTATTCAGAGCCATTTTGTCTTCTCCAGAGCCTCCAAAGAAAGCTCTGGTTCCGACTCCTTTTTGGTCTCCCTTTCTTCCGTCAACTGTTTCTTCGGAGGATCCTTGGGCGCAGGAGTTGATTTCTCCTGTTGCCTTGGTTCCTTCAGCTGTACACAGCCACGGGCACCACAAAAAAGTTTAAAATTCTGGGCCTCCACATAATCCATAAGCTCAGGTTCCATTCCCAGCACCAGGGTATTACCTCCGTCCAAACCGTTATCGGGAGGGTTACAATATGCACAAATTTTGGTATTTCCGATTTTGGGTAGCACAACATTTACACAGATGACTTCAAATGATTTTTATTATCCGCAGAAAATAATCCTGAGCAAAGAATTCTTTTTACGTAAATTGCAACACCTCAACCACGGTGTCTAATTCTGTCGCAACGATAAGTGTTGTAATTTGCGATATTAATGCTGTGTTTTGAATTAGCATGTGTCTCAGTGACAAAGCAAATATCCACTTCATGACGAATTAAAAAGTCCTGAAATTCAGGTATTTTTTGTGTGATGTTCTATGTATTCCACAAAGTAATTGTGAGTGGTGAAAAACTGTGATGAGAGTTAGTCATGATTTTTCTGTAGAGGCATGACTGAATTTTGTGCAGCAGCAGCGTTGAGCTGAGTAGTTGTATCCTTCAGAATCGAGATAGCAGCCGTAAGGGTTGCTATAAATAATTTGCCCTCTTCTAGCTTTGATGAGAGCTCGGCAATTTCAGGTGCGTGCCTGCTTTGGGGTGGCTGAGCACTATTCATGATGACTCTGTCCGAATACAACAATTTTCCCTGTGAATATTGCCGGGACATGGGGAAGTAGCTACGTCCACGAAATGATGCTGTGTGATTTAAACCATAGTTCGCACAGGTGGCTGGTTCGTCTGGTGATTTAGTGCTAGTTTTGGATTCGTGCCCCTGTGCGCACTTTACACACCGCGAAGGGAGGTGACACTGCTTGAAAATGGTGAAAGTTTGGAATCAGACCCTTCATGATTTTGTTCCTTTTGTAACATCGTGTCCAGGTGTTGTTCACGGTGTCCATGCGGACTCATCTCATTAGTTGTGATTGGCTCTTTCTTCGTAGAAATTCGAGGATCTGCTATTCAAACTCTTCGTGTGACAGGTGCGAGGCGCTCTGATATGTTACAGAACCGAGTAGCGTCTCCGTTCTGTGGCGCTAACGCTTCACGCATGCATGATTCCCTAGTGTAATAGGCTGGCATCTGTTGTATACTATTGCCGATGTATCATAAGATTGGCGATTAATGTTGTTCCGTTAACCTTTTCCCGTGGGCTATAGGGGCCAATTTCGAAAGTATTATGATCATTTAGTCACTTATTTTACATGAAAGGAACAGAAAAACAAATCGACAGGTTCTTGCTCTTCCTAATCCATATTAAGGAGTAAATTTTAAATCTCCATTGTTTACTGAAATTTCTTGAGACACATTTAAAGTAGTGAATGTGCGGTACATATATGTCCCAGCCCCCGGGAAAAGGTTAAATATTGTCACCGCTAGAGTTAGCCGTGACTTATTTGTGTCTTATATTTAGTGTGATTATTATTTATAAATTTGAGTCACTAAACTAAAAAATTTTGTGAATTTGTATATGTAGACTATAAAGTTCTTCAACATAAACAACATCCATTTTCTTTCGCTACTTCCAGCTATTGACAGAATACTGGAAATTTTATTTCACAAGAGTATTTTGAAAGGATGATAAAAAAATTGTACTGAAATGTACTATTTATGGTTTTTACAAGGGCAACTCACATTATTTAATAAAGCTATGTATATTAGGGAAACTACAAAAGCAACTGATATTGTCAATGAAATTGGAAAAAAAAGTGTGAAGAAAATAGATGCAATATTATAGGCATTTCAAAGAAAACACAGTTCATTGCACAGTGCCATTTAAATGATAGAATACATTTTCAATCATGCGATACATACTGGCAGCATTTCAAAAGAATATTGTTAATTATGAGCATCATAAAAATTTTTTTGAAGAAAGAGGTAAACTGGCTGAATTAACAGTAAAATTTTACTAATCTTCAAAATTAATAGCCATCTAAATTGCAGTGAATGTTTTTCAACACTGTTAAAAATAACAAAGTTCACACTAGTGATAAAAACACTAGACACTAATGGTAAATACTAATGAATAATACATTGAGTTGATAAAATTTTATTTTAACTCATTGTTATTTTTTGTTAATAACTTCTTTATTTAGGCTTTTCAATCTTTCCTTATTTCCCTTTTTTCTTAATAGTTGCTTTTTCAGGTTTTATTTTCTCAAAATTCTTCTGGTTTGAGCAAAAATATTATGGTAAGCCTAGCCATTACAGGATCGATGAAGAATAAAATGTACGTGTTTTAATCATCAAGAAGAAAACATAGATATATAACAAGGTTGGCCAAACTTCATGTCAGTAAAAGCCGCACGTTTGAATTCAGGAATGTTCGAGAGCCGCATCTAGATTTTCTAAAAGCCACAAGTTTATAGAAGTAGTGTGGGAGGTTTTAAATAGAAAGAAATCCGTGATAACTTTGTAAAATGAGTCTAAGCTAATTAACTACTTTCTTTTAGACACTGAGTAGTTTTAGTTTACCATATTTCAAATATATATTTTATATGTATGAGCCATACAAATTGCCTGCGAGAGCCATATCAGGCTCGCGAGCCGCACTTTGGCCACCCCTGATATATAATATAGAAGAAAATATGTATATAATGATAGATATAAAAACTGCATTAAAAAAAATTTAAAAATGAGTTCCAATTAATTGATTATGGCAAAGCACTTAACAATTATTTGGATGAGAGATGCCTTTGTGAAAAATATGAATTCAAATAAATTTCAAAAGAAATTTTATAACAGTAAATATAGGATCGAATATCAAACAAAAATACATTCGGAAATAAATATGAAATAAGATTAAGTTAAGCGGTACAGAAACCTACAGTATTAATTTAAAGCGATTCAAAAACATCAACACGTCAACAAACAACGTCTGTTTTGAAGAAAGAACAAAGTAGGCTTCCGCATAAGCTTTAAAGTCCCGAGTAAATAAATTCCACATTTCTGGGTTTATCTGAACAACAAATCAGTAATTCTTAATGAAAACAGTACTGAATATTTATCTTTTGGAATAAGAATATTTTTAAACATTTATTTTTTGTATATGGATAAAAAACACATCACACACACTTCAGAGCAATTTATAATGCGTGCCTGAAGTCTACATCGACGAAGGTTGCCGTGCTGAAAAAATGTGTATTGAGCGTGCGTGAAGCGTAAAGCCCGCAGAACGGAGACGCTACTACAGAACCGTATCATGC